CGCCGCACTCGATCCTACCTCCTTCCCCGCGCCGCTCGGTCGCGCCTCCCTGACGTCACTGCGGAGCCTGCGCACTGACCTCCGGACGGCGCGCGTTCCTACGTATGAGCGTGATCGACATCTTGGTAAAGGAAGGGTGTTCGCGCCATGAGTTCCAAGTCAAAGTTCTCAACTAGTTTGTTATCCTTAAAAGAGTATATTTCATAAGCATTTGTTCTCTCTGTCCGCTTTATATATTGAGGAAGCAGGAAGGCGGGCAGAGGCCCAAATCAAGAACAGTGCCTTTACTAAGATGGCCGCTACCCAGAAAAAAGATGGCGACCACGGTTTCACCCGTGGTCTGACAAGTGTTGCCCGGCCTCTAGGGAGCGCCCGCGGTCCGTGCCCGTAAATGAATCCGTATGTTGTGGAGGACGCCTTTCAGCCTTTAACAATCACTTTAGGCTGTGAAAGCACTCTCTTGGCCCAAAGCCTGTGCACCTCACTGTGAATCTTAGTTGGGGGGGGTGCTATCTAGATAGGGAAAATGAGGCTTGGAGGACTTTGCTACAGTCTGAATCCTTTATAACCTCTCAAAATTATGGATCTATGAGAGCCGGGCGTGGTGGCGCACGCCTGTCATCCCAGCACTTGGGAGGCTGAGACAGCAGGGTCGCTGTGAGTTCGAGACCACCCTGGGCTACATAGTGAGTTTCAGGTCAGTCTCAACTACGTAGTGACACCCTGTCTCAAAAAACAAACAAAACAAAAAAACAAACAAAAATTATAGATGTATGGTGGGCTGGAGATTTAGCTCAGTGGCGCTGTGTGCCTGGTAAGCACAAGATCTTGAGTTCAATGCCTGGTGCCAAAAATAAATAAGTAAATAAAAATGATGGACCCATGGGGCATGGTAGCACACCCCTGTTATCCCAGCACTGTGTAGGCTGATGCGGGAGGATTGCTGTAAGTTCGAGGCTAGCTTGGGCTACATAGCCAGAACTTGTTTCAAAAACAAAACAAAACAAGAGATATGGACCCAGTAGTGCGAGGAAACGCTGGCCCCCAGTGAAGGAGAGATTTGTTGGGGCCAAGAAAGAAAGGGCGAGATAGCACTGAGAAATCAACCTGTCAACTCGTGGAGGCTCTGGAGATCACAGGTATGGGGTAAAAGAAATGAGGTAATGGGTCAGAGGGGACACAGCCTCTTTATGCTTGGGTGATTTTTCCCATTGTTGCCACGGCAACTGTCAACTGTGTGGCCCTGGGGCTGTCACTGAGCTCTGGGTGGATTACGGTGAAGGAGGCCTGGCGGTCGGTCCCAGCCAGTTTGGGCCGGAGAAGAGCTTCTCTGGACAGGCACCTTGTCCCCAAAGGTAAACAAAAGGAGGCAGAACTGGACCTCCCGCGAGGTCGAGGCAGAACACGGTCACGGGAGCGGAACAGGCCTCCTCTTTTTTATTTTCAACCTCATTCTTTTCTTTTTTGTCCTATTTTGTTTTTTGGTACCGGGGATCGAACTCGGGCCCTTGTGCTTGTGAGGCAGGGGGCAGAACCCCTGGACCCTTTTCTTTTCTTTTTTGAGAAAGGGTCTCACTACATTGTCCAGACTGGCCTCGAACTTGTGGTGATCCTCCTGCCTCAGCCTCATAAGCGCTGGGGTTACAGGTAGGCTCCACCAGGCCTAGCTTTGCCCTTCATTCTTTTTTGTGGTACCGGTGATCGAACTCGGGACCTTGTGCTAGCGAACCACTGAGCTACCTCCCTGGCCCTGCCCCTCATTCTTGAGGGGTGAAGTAGGGCAAGGTCTGGCTTCTAAACATTCTTCAAGTTGAATTTGGGTCTCATTCCAGGAGTGAAACTATTTTCTTGGGCTTGCTGGTGCACGTCTGTATTCCTAGCACTTGGCAGGCTGAGGCAGGAGGATCTCCAGTTTGAGGCCAGCCTCTACCTCATAGCGAGATCCTATCTGAAAACAAAACTCTCTGGTCATTTTCAGTAGGTCTGGGCATTTTCTGGCCTAGCTGTTCATACCTCTGAATAACTTTCATCCATACTTTTATGATCGCTAGTTTTTCACTTCTGAATGAGACGGTCAGCATGGCCAGGGAGCAGCAGAAGGGTAGACCGGAGGCCTGAGCGGTGTAAGACCGAGGTGCTGTTGGGCAGGGGCCCTTTAATCACGTTCCCAACACCTTGGCCAAGAGCAGCTGGAGTTTGATTTTAAAGCCAGGTTGCTTTTCCTGGAAACCTGCAGGCTCCCTTTGCCACTGCTGTTTGCATGAAAGTCACAGAATGAACCGGATGCCCTGTATTGTTTGTGGGTGATGTTTCCTTCAAACAGAGGCAGAATTTGGATCCTAGAGTAAGAATCATTGTACACTGTAGAGCAAACTGGGCGTGGTGGCGCATACCTGGAATCCCAGCACTCCGGAGGCTGAGGCAGGAGGATCCCTGTGAGCTCAAGAGCAGCCTGAGCTACAAAGTGAGTTCAAGGCCCGCCTGAACTACATAAAGAGACCCTGTCTCAAAAATAAACGGGGCCCGGGATTTAGCTCAGTGGCACCGCGCCTGCCTCTCAAGCACAAGGTCCTGAGTTTGATCCCCAGCATGAAAAGAAATAAATAAATGGAAAAATTTTTAAAGAAAAGCAAAACCCTAAGTCACAGCATAGAGAAGGAAGCTGGTCAAGAGGAGGCAGAACACAGAGGTCTGCGTGCCGCTGTGATCGTGGGCACATTAACCGCTGCAGGCCTGTGGTGCGAATTCGGGGGCAGATACGGATCCCGGGTTCCAGTGTCTGCCTTGCCGGTGACTCGCTCCAGCTAAGCCAACGCGAGGAAGCCTGAGCCAAAAGTCACTTTGTACCATCAAAGAAACAGTGTTCCATGGCTAGAGTAGTTGCACTGGCCCTTGGGCACACGGAGCCACACCCCAACACTTTTATCATTTTATTTTTGGTTTGGTTGGTTTGGGTCTTTTGAGACCAGGTCTCCCTATTTAGTCCAGGGGGGCCTTGAACGCTCAGAGATCCTCCTGCCTCAGCCTCCTGCATACCGTGATTATAGGTGTGCACCTTTGTGCCTGGGGCCTTCAGGTTTTTTCCCCCCAGCAGTGGCAGCGAAGGTCAGACTCTTGCTGGCTTCCTGGCTTCTGTGGGAAGTGTAGGAACATCATCTTTGCTCAGGGGTGGGTTACGGCTGTCCCCTCCTCCCTGGGGGTCTCAAGGTCCCCACAGCAGGGGCCAGGTCCGGGACCTTGCAAAGCAGGGGCGGGAATTTGGCTGTGAGCTCCAGGCCTCAGCACCGACACCTGAAATTGTCAGTTTTGTGCTGCTCTGGGAGTCTGTTGTTTTGCTTTGTTTCTGTGGGTTTTTGGTTTCTCCTGTGCTGAAGATGGAACCCAGGGTTGGGACAAAGCAGTGATACTGAGCTAGGTCACAGCTCTTCTCACACTCTTCCTCTTTTATTTCTCCCTCCCTCTTTCTTCTGCCCTCCCCTCCCTCCCTCCCTCCCTCCCTTCTTAAATTTTGAGACAGGATCTCATCATGTTGCCCAGGCTGGGCTTGAAATTGCAGTCCTCCTGCCTCAGCCTCCTAGGGTGCTGAAAGCACGGGTGTTTACCAAGACACCAGGGCGTGACCCAAAGTTTTACGGTGATAAAGGAAACAAACACAAAAATGAAAGTCGAACTTTGCTCTGCATTTAGTTACCTGTGGGCATCTGAAGGCCAAAGTGGAGAGTCGCTGGTTTTGGTTTCTCTTTTTCCCTTCTTTTTAATTCAAAAACAGCTTTTAGTTTCCTGACTGCCTCAAAACGAAATGCAGGTCGCACTCTCCCTGAGAAACACATGAAGGGCGGGGAGCTTGTTTCTCCTTTTGTCACTGTGAAGGTCTCTGGCAATAGCAGACACCAGAAAAAGAAGTCATGCTCCAGCGACAATAGACAAACATTAAGGCACGAACCACTGGGGATCTGCGGACCCAGGGGAGGTTTTTTCTTTTTTTAAGGCTGGGTCTCACCATGTCGTCCACGTTGATCTTGAGCGGGCTGGGATCCTCCTGCCTCAGCCTCCACCGACAGACGTGCATCCCGCTTACCGAGGGCCACGTACATTTGTGTGGGGGGCTCTGGGGATGGAACCCAGGGCCTTTCCCGTGGTAGCCAAAAGCTCTGATGTGCTGAAGCCGCTGTGTATATATTTTTATCTCCGGAAATTTGTGAACTTGTATAATTTAGTGCCTGTGGGAGAAAATAGCTAAGCATTTGTAGTCTTCTCTCATGACTGGAAAAAGGAATATAAAAAGAAAGGAAAAAATGTAATACTGGGCTACAGATGATAAGATAAATGGTTGGATACAGTGAGCAGAATAATTTCGGAGGAAGACAAATATTAGTGCAAGATAAAGGATATGGTGATGTTTGCCTTGTATGAAAGTCATTAGGCCTGTCGAGATGGCAGATTCCTTACCTCACTTGTTTGCTGCCATGACACATTTGGACGTGGTTATTTGTAAAGTTACAATTAGGATCGTTGTGGTTATGAGGCACTTTCTTCTTTTTTCTTATTTTGGGGTGCTGTCGAGGGCCCCTGGGGGACTTGAACACACCATGAAAACTCAACCACCACCTCATCTCAAGCTGTCTCTTTGGCTGCCCAAGAGGCTGAGGCAGGAAGATCAGAAGCTCAGCCTGGGTAACTTCAAAACTCAGTGAGATCCTGCTTCAAAATATATAAGAAAAAAAATACCGTTTTGTTGTTGTTTTTGGCACCGGAGGTCGAACTCAGATCCTTGTACTTGTGAGGCAGGAGCTGGAACCACTGAGCCAAATCCCTGGCCCCAAAAAATACTGTTACTAGATATTTTTCATTTACCAATTGAAGATTGTTTAAAAAAACATGAAAAATTAGAGGCTCCGTGTTCCTCTTGGTTCTATAGACGTAAAACCTGCTGATATAAATATATTTCTCTCTGTAGTTGTGTGCTTTTTGAGTGGGAAGAAACACAGCCGTGCTGGACCACAAACATTAGTGTTATAATCAGCTCCAGAAAGAAGTCGTTAGCTGAGTGTGGTGAAGCATTCTTG